ATCGGTACTTCGTTCAGTTACGTATTGCTATTTGTGGGTGGGTACATGAACAGTCAGTGCAATCATTGAAACTTAAAAACTATATAGGTATTGTGCAGTTCACGTTAGTGCCAGTATTAAAGACATTTTTTTTGTCTATATGTAAACGGCTAATCGCCATCCTTAAACTTATAGACTTTTTTTTTATATTTTTTTTTAGTTAGTAATTTCTTTAAAAACATTTTTTTTTAATTTTTTTTTTTAATATTGTATACTTAAAACATTTTTTATTATGAAACGTTAAGCACAATTTTTTGCAATGTATAATAATTATTGTTAAAAGTATAATTTCAAACAAATCTTGAATTATCGCTGGGGTCCAGCTTTAGAGGTGCGTGGGAAGTGTCAAGGATGGAATTATTTGATATATAAAATAACATATTTAATATTAATATATTTCGTAAATTAATAATTCGATTGAAAGGAAGTATAAGATAATTAAAGTTCATTGGCATTTACGCAACAAAAGTAAAGTTTTAAAGTAAAGTTATAAGCATAATTGGCAATTGCGGAAATATTTCCTTTCAATACTACGAATTTGTAAAATCTCAATCAGCACTAACGCGGTCATCGCACCGGTCATCGCACCGATAGACCAATAATGCTGATTCGATGATTCGACGTAACGAACCAATAAATACAAAATGTCACCTGTTGGGTGGACAGTCGACAGTCGATAGTCGACAGTGGATAGTCGATAGTAAGTTCGATAATGTCGCGGTCGAGATTCCGGCATTGGCGTTACACTACCCTGACACTACCCCGAGCCAGTGATGATGTTCGTCCATAAATATAATATGTAAGTACACATTTAGTTTTATAATTATTTTATTATTCGTAGATTAATTAAATTGATTATTAAGTTAAATTGAAGTATTTATTATTTGCTATGCCCCTAGTCATAACCCACAAAATGGGGTGTGACAATACAGGGTGTCCCAGAAATAAGTGCAAGTATTTTAAGGGGTAGTAGATCTCGATATAAGAAACATATCTTCTTTTTATCGTTTTTCAAATAAGTCAAAAATAACGGAGTTATTTTACATTGAAAATTTCCAAAAAAAAATATTTTTTGCTAAAATTTTGAGAACCACTGAATCTTTTCTGGATTTTCTTTCTTGCAAATTTAATCTAATACCTATGTTGCCATATTATCAAGAAATTATGTTTTTTAACTAAAAACTAAAAAAAATTCCTAAAAATGTTTCCAAAAATTTCGAATTTTCAATTTTTTTTTTCAGGAAAAAAGCCCCATAGGCGTGTTTCTGGGTTTCTTCAGTTTAATAATATCTTTTCGAACGTTTAGCTAGTTTGTTAGCTAGGGCTTAGGTGTAAAAGTGCTTTACTTTTATGCCTAGGCATTAATGTTCGTTAATTATAGGACGCTTAAACTCACTATTATGGTCAACAAACATCTCTATCGAAAGAAAACACCTTTTATACAATGCAATATTTAAAAGTGATGTATTGTATGGATGTGAAACCTGGCAAATAAATAAAACTTTAGAGCGTAAACTACTGGCTCTTGAAATGGATTTTTGGCGAAGATCTGCCGGAAAGTCAAGAATAATTATAGAGATTATGGGCGTAAAGAAAACTATCCTCGATGAAATCGAACAACGCCAACTAATATGGTATGGACTTGTAGAGAGAATGGCTGACGAACGTCTACCAAAACAAATCCTAAAATGGACACCGGCGGAAAGAAGAAAGAAAGGAAGACCTAAAGCTACCTGGATTGAGGGCATTAACCGAGCCATGTCCGAAAGAAATTTACTTCCAGGAGATTGGGAAGATCGAAGGCAATGGAGACTGGGAATCGGAAGGCGTAGAACGCTATAAAACCGGATATATAATATTAATAAGATATTAAGGTTTTTCGAATTAGTTAAAAAATCCAGAAGGTCAGACAACAAACTGATTCCGGTTTCCGATTTTTCCTTTCGAGGTACTAAACCTAAAAAATGTTGAAAAGTATTTATTTTGACCTGATCATATCTCATTTCAAAACAAATAAACCAGACGTTTAAAATAGAAAGAGACAACCTGAGAAAAACACACGACTATGCTGCTCATTATCAATCGATTGTTATAAGTTATAATATGATTATATAACGCAAAATCTAGGTTAAAAGCCAGACAAATTCAGTAATGAACGCTTTATGCAATGCACAGTGTGAGAGAAAGAAGCTATGATCTCAGATTTAATAATATTTACAGATGAGCACAGTGCAGGTACATATTGAAAAAGAGCGAGCTAATATTTCAGAACCTCTGACTTCAAAAGAATTAATTTATTTTAGCTTGTGAAATAGAGTATAGATTTTGATTGAAATTTAAATTAATTTTGTGATACAGTTAAGAATAATTTATTATACAGGGTTGTTCACCACATACGACACGTAGTATTGTAGCTAAACGATTAGATTTTTACAAATTATAAGTTTTGGGTTCGTTGAAGAACTTTTAGAGCTACAATTTGTTATCGGCGCCTATGATCCTTATGATAGGCAGTCATTTCACCTGCACCCCGTGTCCGCTGATGTTTGCGAGTAGCGGAGTAGTAGGCTTTGGAAACAGTTGAATGTCAGAGATTGTTGATTTCGGCCGAGAGAAGACATTGTTTGTCAAGCTAGTTAGAATTACATTTTAAATATCAATTTCTGTTAAATATATTAATCTCCCGATTACAAATTTAAAAATATTTTTACAAGATACAGAGTGTCCCAAATAAGTGAAAAATATTATAGTTGTATTTTTTTTAAATGGAACACCCTGTGTATTATTCTGTTTTTAAATTCTACGATTGAAATAAAGGTAAATTTGGTTAAATGTATCACATTCAAACCTTACCGTTTTTCAAATATTTCCAATTTTGTGAAATTGCAGTAAAAAATTTAAGACTTCATTCCTCCAAGGGTATCAAAGTTTTTAATACTAAATATTTACTGAAGATTATTTAATGATCGGATATTGTGTTACAATAATAAAAATTATACTACCTTATACAGAGTGTCCAAGAATTTATATTAAATAACTACTAGCTTTAAACGACAATTACTTGATTCATTTAAATAGAACACCCTGTATATTTTACGAGAATCAGATGCACAATTTAATTGTCTATCAAATTGCATTATGCCATTTTTTACCTATCTCTTCAAGTTTTCGTAGAAAATGCATTCTCTTATAATTTAGACCTCATCTATTAATATACCCAAGGAATATTGACATTTTAGATTATTTTTAAAGATGTAACAAATTTTCAAAGAGTACAGATACTAATATTGTCGATATAGTTCGGTTTTTTCATTAAAAAAATAAAAAAAAAACTGTTCAAATATTTTTTGTTAAAGAGGAACATTTATTATGACTCCTGGTTTAAGTGTGATAAATCATCAAATTTAGCTTTATTTCAATCGTAGAATCTAAAAATAGGATAATATACAAGGTGTTCCATTTAAAAAGATACAACTATAATATTTTTTACATATTTGGGACATTCTGTATCTTGTAAAAATATTTTTAAATTGTAGCTCTAGTAGTCCTTCAACAAACCCAAAAAACTTTTTGTAATTAATTAGTAATAGAAATTAGTAACAATTTGTAAAAATCTAATCGTTTAGCTACAATACTCTGTGCCGTATGTGGTGAACAACCCTGTATATAATATATTAAGTATGTAAAGATGTATTTTACGATACCATATGAAATAAAAACAATTTACAAAAGCTTGTCATAAATGTTAATTAAAATCTCACCGATCAAATTACAACCAATATAAACAATCTTATTTACTTCTGCTGTCAGAAAAAAAACGTAAATAAACAAACCCATCATAACTGAACTTTAACATCTCTATAACATATTAAATATATCGTCGCCTTTTTTCATAAATAATTAACATAATTAAAAATAACCGAAACCAGATAAAGAGTAAAAGTGGACCCATCAAAAACCGTCCCAAACCTTGACTGAAGAAGAACCCATAATCTAGATCTACCGTCGTAATCGTACCAGATCCTTGGATGGTTCTCAAGGTGGTTCCTCTGCGTGTGGCAATCGAAATCTGTGGTATTTACTGACGTAAACAAATTAGTCTAGTTACGGAACAACTAGAAAAAATTAAAAACGAAGAAATCGTTTAGTTGTTGGAGCTGTTCGAAAAATTTGACATTAAGCAAACTAACGTCTGGATGTGAGTTAATTGCTCGTAAAGTTATAATTACTGCTGTTAATAATGGTGAGAGAAAAACATGGGTATAGATAATCGTTATTTATTGACTTTTCGTACTAGTATCGTTAATACTATGAAGAACTAAAATACTGGATATTAAAAATGTTTTTAGACCCTGTAATAAATCACAATATTCGTGTATTAGTATATTAGAGAGACTAAACATCCTCTAAGTCGACTTAGCGAGCACAAAAAAACATGTATAAAAGATGAAACAATGGAATTAGGTATTGCAAACCATATTTGGTCAAAACAGCACAATATAAAGTGGTTAGCAGCTCGGGTTATCCACAGGGAGCCTCATTAGAAAAAGCGTGTATTTAAAGAGGCCGTTTTTATTGCAAGCAATAACAACATTTTTAGGAATCGTAGTACGGAAATATCGACGATATGGCAAACCCTCATAAAACGCACCAATACAGGAATTCTAATTGGATAACCTAACGGTTAACCTGCACAGGTAAATATCTGGTTGTAGTTTAAAAGCTCAGTAGTTTAAGGAATTAGGCTGTATTCCGTTGCAAAACCAGGCGAACCAGACCGGTAAACTACGGTAAAGTGCAGCTCCTAAAAAACATCGGTTTGATACGGAACGGTTTGGTAAAATACTGGAAACATCAAAATGTCGTTTTCTAAATTCCAATACCTCTATTATAAAATTTATCTTATATGCATTTTTAATGTACCTGTTCTCTGCTTTTACGTTTGCTTTTTCTTTTCAATGGAGTTTAATATTGAAAAGTACTTTATTAATAAACTGTTAAACTCGTTAGACAGCTCAAGTGAAGATTTGCAAGTCCAATATTAAAATAAAATAGATCAATAATAAATAAACAAATCTAATCAATATTTATATTTTTATAGCTTACAAAACATTCACGATTACTTGTTGTCTTGGTTTTCATGTTTTCTTTAAATGTTTCTGACTTTAAGAAACAATGGCTGCATGATAAGTTTAAACGGTCCTAAAAAGTCATTCTATTTAGTTAATGAAATTTATTTACCTTTACTGCCTACCTCTATTGCTTATGGATGTAAATACAAAATATTGTAACAAATTTTAGAAATTAAATGAGAATTTCACTCGAATTCCCAATATTTGCTTAATTTCTGTCACACAAATGACATTGATTGACAAACAAAACCAGAAAAACCAGCCTTCTCGCGCTGGTTAATTTGGTGACAGTTATTACCGAATTTTTCAGGAACCGTGTTCCGTAATAAGAAAAGTTTCAGGAAACCGATAGAAACGGAACATAAAACCATATCCAAAGTAAGCAACGGAATACACACCTTTAGTTTTGTTTACTCTTGATAACGGTCAATGATCGTTCTGACCGAAACGTTGTGTTAATCAAAAATAAATAAAAACAATAAAAGCCCGAAATTATTTTAGTTTCAATACTGAATCATTGTCTGCCACATTGAAAATCACAATACAGTAGGTATATCATTAAAGATTTAGTAATCAATTAGAAATATGATTGGTCTTTAAAGACATTTAGAAAAAACGTTCGAAAATTGATTATGTTTTTTTTTAATTATAGTGGGTGGTGAAGATGTATTACTGTCTGTCAAAAAAAATCATCAATCATCAATACATCATTCCTTTAATCACCTATGCTTAACCTAGTATCGAAATGTTGCTCTAGGTTAAATACAATTAATTACGTTCTAGTTTTCATCATTTTCGTTATTTCTTTAATAGAAAAATATTAATAAAAAATTATGCAACATATTTTTAAATAAATTAATGATACTCGATTTCCTTCATATAAATAATTCAGACCTAGAAAAATAAGTAAACATAAAGGTATACTAACAAATATACAGGGTGGTCCGAACTCTATTCCGGAAACTTCGGCAGCATATTCTGCAGATAAAAATAAGTAAAAAAGTTCAGTATAAATGTATGTCCTAAAATGCTTAGTTTCGGAGATACAGGGTGTAGAAGTTTAATTCTTATTTCAATTTTTTCCAAATAATTTCTGAAGTAACGTCAATTATATTTGGATGAAAATTGGTATCTGGTAGTTTTTTCAACATGAGAAATTTGATTTTGACGTCAATATGATTCCTACTTGTAGACAGCGCCACCTGCATATTTTTTAACTGATTTGAAGAGTAATAACTTTTCGTCCGTACCTGTATAAAACTACCGAGTGAAAAAATATACATTCAGGACGTTGTTTACCTAAAAAAGGTCTCTTGGTCAGGTTAGGTGGTTAGTGTGTTAATTGTTATTTACCAAAACAAGATACAACTCTATAAATATAATTAGGATATTACTCAAAAAGAACTACATTGAAATATGTTTCTCTCAAAATCCCATAACCAATTACCATCTCAAAACAAGCGGTATATTCGCACGTCTAGCGAAATTAAAATGCCAAAAATAAAAAAAATTGGAGAATCGAAAACGCCAACAGAATAGAAATATTTCAAAACTTGTCTTGAAAGCGGCGGCCGGTCGCCAGAAATTCCCACAATCCTTCTTCATCATCGTTGATATTTCGAGGGGATTCCTCATAATGCCAAACGGTATGTCGCTGCAAAAAAACCACGAACCTTAAAAATAATAGATAACATACTGCATATACCGTGTGGTGCAGCGGAACAAGGAACATAGGAAATCCCATGTAAGTTTTGTATCAAAAGTTGTATTAGACATTTTTTGAAGAGGCATTAGAGTTGTACTTCCGTCTAGAATTTCGTTTTATTCGGAATATGCCTTTAAATGTTATTTGCAAAAATCTATCTTCAAATTACTAAAAATGGTCCAGTAGTTCAGTAATATAGCTCAAATTGCGATATATCCGACAAAATTCATAAAGTTTTCAAAATTGGTGGAAATAATCAGGACATCATATGTATTAATAAACTGAAAAGTTCCCACCCCTAAATAGTGTGCGTCATCCCCCAGGACATCGTTTGTAACCGCATTTTGAGTTTTTTAGATAATCTCGGCAACGGTGCAATTCTCAAAAAAAAAAGAATT